GGGTATAATGGTTTTGTTAAAATGTTTGTAACAGGCAGAAGGAGGCGTGGCAGACACCACAAGGTATATACATTCTTGATTAGTGCGATAAGCTGAGTCGATTTGGGCCTGTCCGTCTGTCCGTATGTTTGAACGCGTCGATTGCAGAAGATATAAAAGCTAGAAACTTGATTTTGATAACTATTCCCGATATTTTATTATCGATTAAAAACATTATGAATTAAGGCAAATGCCACTGTAGCTTATTATGAATGATTTTTAATTTTTTCGAATTTGTCAATGATTCAATAGAATATGTAAGTCATATGCTGTAAGTTTAGTTAAATTTTTGTAAGTCAATCGACGTTAAAAAATAGTAAAATGTTTGGCCAATTAACAAACGCACGTGCTGCAGCTACAACAGTTTTCCTATACGTGTGCACACATGCAAACTTCTTTTAGCACATTCTTAATATCTCATCAGCAGTTAGTTTGGCTTAGATTTGCTAGATGCCGCTGCAGCAGTGAATCTATTTCAGTTTTGCCATTGCACTTTCGAGCCGTGAGGTGGCGTCGTGATAAAAGTTGTGGCGCTCGATCGGGAAGTTTCGGGCTCAAATGCAGAGCGGGTCGAGGTTTTTTTTTTTTTTAATTTTTTAAAAAATTTGTATATGTATATTTGATGAAATGAGTTTTCTATTTCATTAATATTTTTAAATACATCGAAATTGAAATTTGAACCATACTAAATGTGCTTTTCTATTAGTTTGGTTCAGGGTAGTATGTAGTTGAGCACTCTCGACTAGAGTTTTCTAACTTGTTTTCTTTTTATATTCGTTTATTAACAACTTTACTTATCTAATACAATATATGTTTTGTCGGCTAAAGGTAACGCACGTTGCTTGCGGGACGGCCGTAAAGCATTGCTTCGCAAGCACTTTGCACTCCCTTAGCTTGGAATAGCTTTCCCATGTGTGTGTGTGTGCTGCGAAGAAATTTCAATTTTCGTGAGCTGCTGCTTGCGCTCACATGCATACATACATTTACATAGTGTAGAGAGCAGAGAGCGCCAAGAGAAAGAAAGAGAGCAAGGGAAACATTGAGCATAGAGGGATCTTTTGTTGAGTGTTAAGTGTCCGGTCGATGTATTCTATGGTTAGTAGTCGAACTGAGCTAAGATATAGAGACCTGAAATTCGTTTTAATATGTCCGCATATAAAGCATATCGAGTTTATCTTCAAAAATCGATAACTCATCTCGTTATTTGGTTATCGATTAAAAGCTTATCAAATATCTATAATAATTTTATATATGCTATATCTTTAGAGCTAGAGTCGCCAACCATGTCTTCCCTTCTGTGTGAAGAGTATACCGAACTCTTTAAACCGTTTGCCAAGCTCGTACGAAATATTTGCGTTTTCGTTATGATTTTTGGGAAGGGTATGAAAGCATTGGTACTCATAATAAAAATGTTTTCGCGACGAGCGTGCACGCACACACTCTCCCTTGCTACATGTACTAATAGCATTTGTATGTCTGTGTGCGAAGCTCGTGCTGTTTGTAGCAATTTTAACTACTGCATTTGGTTGATCTTGTGAAGTGCTCACATACATATATATGTATGTATGCATATACATTTGATTGTGTGTGTATGTATGCATATACATTTGATTAGCGAATGGGATCTGAATCGAACA